TAATTTATCACATTTCAAAATGGCGCCTCCAAGATGGCGGCTGAAAAAACTACATCCGTCATAACCAAGTGAAAATATGTCGACAATGAATGGTGGTGTATACTTATCTTTATCTAGCACTATTTTGAGATTATGGTCTTAGTTTGTTAATACACAATGTTAAAATGGGCTAAAAATAAAGTTATAAAAAGTCCTCATAACTTTAGAACGAATTAAGATTTTTAAAAACCAATTGCGGCATTGTAATCAGCGTAAAATTCTAGTTTGAAATAATGGGTCAAATTATTTAGGTTAAAACTATTTCAAATCGAAAACTGTCTACTACACATATTCATTTACAAAAACACATAATAAATTAAAAATATTTAAATCAATAGATTTACTGAGAATATTCACTGATAAACTTTGCGGGTAATTATAACAATCAAGGCTGATAATTGCGGCTAAATGCCTGGGCAATCAGTCCCAAACTCCCGCCATTGTGAGCCAACTCTACGCGCGGCTCATTTGGCGGGAATCTAACTTCAGAATCATCTGTGTTAAGGCTTATAAATCGTTAGTTTGAAATTTCTGCATTTGAAATTCAACGCTTAATCTATCAGATGAGATGTATTTGTTGCGCTATGTGATCATGGTTTTACCTAATCGGATGAGGAATTTTTATATGTGAAGCCTATTGAAGTAAACCCGTTAAAAAATGTTTCTTTTAAAAACTACTTTTCGGTAATATACGTCTTACAGTTATTTTTATTTGTATTGCCTTCATGACTTCTTTACGCTTCTTGGTCTTGGCCTTTCATCCCCCCCCCCCCCCCCGGTTTTAAATTCCCCCTTTTATTTTTACAGGGAATAAGTATGAAAGTGGCTGTTAGAAATTTGTTAGTAGACATTTTAAACTTGCCAAGGATGTAGTAAGTAATCTAATAAGTCAACACCCCACAATGGGGGACTGGGGATAGACTCTAATCTACTAATGACGACTAACAACTAGGGGGCCTGGGGGCGGAGCCCCCAGCGAGCCAAAGGCGAGTATTCACTATACAGGGTGTTCAAAAAAGGTGGGTACATAATTTAAGTGTGGATTCCTTAGGTAAAATTAAAGAGGAAATCAAGAATAACATTTCTTCCAAAATCACTTCGTTAACTAGATATCCGCCATTGTATATTTTTTATAGAAACATTTTTATCTTTAAAATCTTTACCCATCTTTATGAAACCTGATATGTATGTTGAGGTAGAAGAGACAGATGTTAAGAAGAAAATTCATTTTCATTCGACTTAAAATTTTAAAATAGCGGCCATTTTGATTGTTTAAAGTTTAATTACTCAAAAATTGCTAAATAAAATTTCTTCAATGTCGTAGGTCTGAATTGAATACATATTAATTCGTATATGATATCTATATTACTTTATACGTCTTAAATAGTCTACCAATGGTGTTACAAAATTATTTTTAGGCTGAATTAAAGTCAATTCAAACAAATTCAAAAGTATATTTAGTAGTAGGCCTCCTATAGACCCAATTAAATGTTTGCGATTACGTACTTTAACAAACTAACTAAATCTAAGCATATAAAGTACGTAAATATTTTGTAATTTACACTTTATCAAAGATTGTTATTTTAAATTAAATCAACACTGCATCATGTTTAAAGTATTTCCAATGAACGTAGCGATCCGAAGAACAACAATCTATATCTGAACAGCAAGATGTGATCGGGGCTCATTTTCTACCTCATTTGGCACAATTCTCTCTACCGGGACCTTCTTTGCTTGAGATGACTTTATTCTCATATCTCCAATGTCTCTATTTCAACTTCAATACCTTCGGATAGCTTTTTGTGAGGGATAAAATTGCATTCGCTGTTGCATTTTATAAAGCAGTTCTTATTTTTCGGTATTGTAATTTAAATATTTTTATCTGAAAAGTACGTTAATGTATTTTTTCTAATAGCATTTACAATATTTTTTTGAATATTTATCAAAATCTGTTTTTATTTAATTCAAATACCGTATATCAAGACGATTTACCAACCCCACGAGTTAAATACATTTTTCACTTTTTTATTTGTATCCTTGAGTTATTATAAATTAGCACAATATGTTTACCTATAGTATAAAACTGTCTCCACAAATGATAATAATGTTTCATTACTAAAAATATTTCAAACATTTTATTTAATTTGCTGATTATATTGTCTCTACAAAATCTACATATTGAAAAATTAACTCACACTACTCTTAATTACCGTATGTAAAACCATTTAAATTATATTTCCTACTTTAAAAACATTTTGTGAACCTAAAATATACAGAATAATATAATATTGAATGATTTTATATTAAACGATAATTATGCAATTATAGATTCAATATAAAAGAGTGTTCTGTTCTCATAAAAATCAAAAAGGTTTCCAATTTTGCGTAATAGCCATTTTGGATTTTTGGAACTACTTGTACTATAATTATATTAACTATTGAGGAAAATGTACTACTGACGTCATCGACTGCAGCTGATTTTAATTCCTTAGAGAAAAAACGTTTTTTAGACCCCCAATTCATGTAGGCCTACTGAATCACAATTTTTCTGCAATAATGGCAAAAACATTATTTTAATCTTTATGCACAGCTTTCCCTAACTGAACTTCAAATTCTGATTTAGTCAAACCTAACCTAACATTCTGTTATAAGAAAGTAAAGAGAGTAAAACCCCCTATGAAATCCACAACATCCATTGAATACGTATATATTGACAAGATGTGAGTGATAGAATTGTTTTAAACTGATGTGTTTTGTAAAAAAAAACTTAAGTTATTTCCACATCATATAAGGTAAAGAAATAAACTGTCCATCACAGTTCCTGGAGCAAAATTCGTTCCATTTCCTGAAGGCTAAGCACATTTGTTGCTCGTCCTGTAGTAATACCGAGCCAAGAAATCCCGATATTTTATAGCCTAATGTTGATTTACCCATAAAAATCTATGGAATAACGGAAGCTTGGATTTTCTAAAAAGAGGCTTGGACGATTTTAATTTAAATTCAGAGTGTTATGGTCCTTTTAACTCTAAACAATATGGTACAACTCCCAAAACCTTCTAAAATGTACAGTTTCAAAGTGATTAAAATTTATACTCCTTCAGCTTACCCAACGATAAGGGTTGTTGATAAAAAAAAGTCAAGTTGTTGAAAGTTTGTGGCACATTGGTGATACCGTTTATTTACATACTAATAACTCATTACCTCCAATTTCAAAATTAACCAAAACTATACTCAAATACCGTCTGTTAACAGTGAAGCAACTAAACCGGGTTGGGATTTGCAATAATAACAGAGCAATAAACGGATGTTTCATTGCCACCGGAAATTAAACCCCATCCAGCTGTCGCTCTGTGTGCGTCAGCTCTGTCAGCTGATTAAAATATCAGCTGGGAACTATCAGCGCGTTACAGTTATATTGTTGCATAGTGTCTGCGAAAAGGAATACACGCCTTTTTAGTTCTCAATATTCAAAATTAGGGGTTGAAACAATCTGGACGTTTAAAATAAGAATGATTTCTTTGTTTGTCAAAAAATAAACATATTTTTTAATTGTTTTTTTGTAAGCTCTTGCTTTTTAATCAATTACATATTTTAAAAGTTGACTATACGTTTCAGATGTCATTTCTGTCCACCAGGAAAATACAATGTTAGCCAGGTGGAGTCAGCATTATTGCATGCATGCTTTGACTATTTCAGTATCCAATAGTCAATGATTCAGGTTTCAAACATTGTCCATTGTAAGTCCCTGCATGGTTAATTGTTGCCACTTCCTGGTAAGTTACGTCCTAAGATCCATGGGCTCCAATAGACTCCCTCAGAATGTACTACTGATTTCTTCCACTTCAAATCTACCTGAAATGATTGACTCATTAGTAATCCATTTTATTCACTTGATGAGTTTGCACTGGTCATATTCAATGTAAAGCATTAGCTTACTGTACATGCTTTTAGTTGATTTTAATTATTTACCTAGTAAATATTTACCGTTCTTATTTCTGTAACATGTAGATCAATGGAATAAAAATTCTTTACATTCGACTATTAATTGCGGTTCGGTACAACAAAGTTAACTTATCGAATCTGCGATCGTATTTGAATTATACGTCAAATAACCTAATGTATTTTGCTTGATTTCGAGCAACATGTTTACAAATAACAACTTTAGAGAACTCAACCACATATAACGCGTGAAGTATAATTAGTAGTATTTAAAACTCAGGAATATGACTGTAACATTCTTAAAAATGGTGTTGATATTAACATCGATGAAACAACGTACTTGCTGATTAATAACGTACATAAAATACTTCTAACCCTCAGTTAAGGGGGAGGTGGCAATCACAGCTGGGAATAAGGGGGAGGAAGTTTTCTGTGTTGAGTTTGGTGGCAGAAGAAATTATGAACGATCTCCCAAACGTCTAATAAAATACAGTTTCCTTTCAAAGTGAAAATCGATTTATCTCAAACGAAACATATGTAGGCCTAATTCAGTACGTTTGTTTTTGAAACTGTCCGTCCGATAGATGCGAGACAGTGGGAAATATTTTGTACATGCCAACAGCAGCATACAAACAAGTTTTGTTGTAAAATCGGAAGCTAGGTGTGTATTTGACGTTTGGTAACGCTTTGTATGTCAAAAGTCCATCTCTTATAATTTATCAAAATCCGCAACAATTTTACTAGGTTGGACTGCTTTCACATACATTTTTTATATATATTTTTAATGCAACCGGAGTGAATATTAAATAAAGCTTCTTCAGCTGATTCATGAGAATCGAGAATCTATTTGAGATAATATTTAATCAACGGTTGCAATTTCTAGGTTATCACTTTTTACACTAATATAAAATGAGAACTAATTACTTTATGGGCTGCATGGCCAAACTTTTGACAAATTATAGCTGTTTAGAACATCCTGTTATGCATTCATATTATTATGAACAGCTGGTAACCAAATAAAATAAAGCTCAAATATCAAAACATCAAAATATGATATTCTCAATTTTAATCTGAAATCTCTACGTGACATTGATGAAGCTACCAACTTTTCTAGTATGTCTTCTTCTGGTCCAACCACGTCCTTCTGTCCTTCAAGAGAACCACACGGAATTTGACTATTGCTCCATCAATTGCGACGGACACAAGCACACGATGTGCGAGTACCCAGAGGGTGGACAACCTGCTTGTGCAAACTTCACTCGCAAATTGAACCCGGGAATGATAGCTGTTTTGTTGGAAGTCCACAATGAGTTGAGACAGCAGGTGGCCATGGGAAAAAGCGAAAATCGTCAACCTCAAGCTGCCAACATGTTGTTGATGTCTTGGAGTGAAGAAGCAGCAAGAATCGCCCAACGCTGGGTAGACCAGTGCACAGAGGGAACCCGTCAAGACGTCTGCCGAAATCTCAAAAGTGGAGAACGTGGAGCACAAAATTTCATGGTGACCTCAGAACAGAAAGAATTCGACCTCTACCACTTCCAGAAGGAAGCTGTCTTGCGATGGTTCAAAACTGGGAAATACCTCGACCAGAAAAACCTTCATAGCTACAAGTCGGATCCCAAGTCCGACCACTACGCTCGGATAGTTTGGGCTCTCTCGGATAAAATAGGGTGTGGCTTCAGTAAAGGGGTGTTGAACGGAAGTGAGGTGTACAGGTTGGCTTGTAACTACTATCCGGCGCCCGTGGAGGGTGATCCAGTCTATTTGGTTGGCAGGCCTTGCTCTAAATGCCCGTATGCGAGGTGTAGCGAGTATATGCCGGCATTGTGTGCTCCGAAGATTGACAGTGTGCATAACAGAGGGAATTCTGGAGCGGAGAGTGTGAAGGGTGGATTGTGGACTGTCTGGATTTTTGGGGTGTTAGTGTTGATTAAGATCATCAGAGTGAATGCCTAATAGTTGACGTATGATTATGAAAATGTTTATAATTGTCTGAAACACCAATGAGGTCCTTTATTGCAAGTTCAGAGAATGAGATTGGACGATAACGATAACAAATGTCCAATAAATTTTGAATTTCATGCTAATGTTTCGTACTTACTTTGTGAATACAGTGTTTGATAATAAATATTGATATATGTTTCTTGCTAGTGTAGACCGCAAGAAACTAGCTTGATTAGATGTTATTTCAAGTTGGTATGTTAGACAACTGCAGTTGAAGAACTGTGGATATTTATAGACATGCACTGTGGATGCGATACTCCCTTGTGTGGATTAACGTCCGCACTAGTGAGTACTACGACTATCCGCAGTACTATCCTGATAATTAGACCAATTCGTTAATAACAAGGTAATGATGTGGTTCGGATTCCACTATAAACTGTAGGTAGTTGCCATTAGCTGTATGGGCTATTAATGATCAGCTGTGTCTAAGGAATATTTTGGCCTTAGTCACTAACAAGACTACAAGGTCACGCCACTCATCTCCATTCATACTTGGTTTAAAATACCTACTTTGTGTGGTCGCCATTTCAATGAAAAGTATTTTAAAAGTTGAAACTTGCTGTTACGATGTCTATTGGGCAACTTTGTTATTTTTCAAAACTCCTCCCATTTTAGATTAAACGTGTGTATCTGCCGAAGATAGGTTTAAGGCAAGGTCCTAACCAAGGGGTGTTATTGTCTACTACGTATTTATTTGACCATAGACTAACGACACGACAAAGTGCCCATGCTAGCCATCACAGAAGACTTCTCATCCCATTGTAAAATTTGAATTGCAGCTCATTTTTCATGTCTAGTTATGGTAACACTGAACTCTAGTGTCGACGGAAGAGAATGTTTAAACTATGATTTTACTGAGAAAAATTATTGAAGGCTGCTAGTAGCACTATTAAATTTAAAACTGAATAGAAACATATAGTTATAAATTATTACTTCTCCTTTTGTATTGTAACTAAACAATATAGGAAATCGTAGGTAAAATGTAAAGAGAGAAACATATAAGTTAGTCAAAGTTATCGACCCGAACATAACCTACAAAAAATGCCCATTAAAGATTGTAGGGTTTGTATAATCCTATCTCAAGTCCACTTGAGCATTTTACATTAGCTTTGATTCTAAATCCGGTAACTTTCACCATAGAATGATTAAAGTGGTAAATATATTGATTGCCTACCTTTTAGTTTAATCTGTCAGGAGAATGCATTAGTAGGCTATATGGTTAAAATTTTGAAACCGTACATCTCATCTGTAGTTTGTGTCATTCAATAAAGTCAACCATATGGGTAAATACACCGTCCCAGTCAAAACCCCTTAATCAAAATAAATAAAAGATCCTCGCTTATTTTCTTTACAATCATGCTAAAACTGCAATCTAAATCACCACTGTTTACAACTATTCTATAACAATATACAATTTCCAAATTCTAGACATGATAAACCACGTTGTGTTTTCCATCATGTGCATAAGCCAAGCTCTCTGTTTCGACTACTGTTCCATATCCTGTGACGGTACACCTCACACGATGTGCAGCTACGCAGACGGAGGACCTTCAAATTGTTCAGGATTCACCCACGGTTTGACCAAAAACCAAAAGACGTATCTGGTACAACTCCACAACGAACTGCGAGAGTTGGTAGCAACAGGGAAAACTCTACCTCCAGCGGCCAACATGATGAAAATGATCTGGAGCGAGGAAGCGGCCATGATAGCCCAAAGATGGGCCGACCAATGTACCACTGGGGAACACACTGATTCCTGCAGATCCTTAACATCAGGAGAAAAAGGAGGGCAAATAATTACCTCCGTGGCTAAATTCAGGACTGACGATACCTACAATTTCATCAGGCAAACTGTGATGAGATGGTTCACCAGCAATGAAACTGTCTTTGACGCGAAGACTATCGGTAGTTACCAGTATGACAATAGGTCTTTTGCGTTCGCGCAGATGGTTTGGGCGAAGAGTGACCGGCTCGGGTGTGGTTTTGCCCATGGGGTGTTGAAGGAAAGGGTGGAACACAGATTCGTCTGCAACTACTACCCAGGGGCGGTGGAAGGGGAGAGTGTGTATTTGGTGGGAAAACCGTGTACCAAGTGTCCCTTTGTTAGATGCAGCCATGATTTCAAAAGCTTGTGTGAACATCAGTCTGGTACGGTGTGGAATAGGAACCAACCGAATAGGGGACGTGTGCGGGACAGTGATGAAGTTGTTGTATTTGTGTTAGTTGCTTTTAGTTTTGCGTGGGTTTTTCGTCTCTAGGTGTATTCAGAAAGGTAGTCCGCTGCAGAGGAATTTATTTCAATGAGTTACGGCTAAAAATAGAGTTGGAAGTTGTGTTTAAACACACTCCACATCACGTAACAAACGAACTCACACGAAATGCATTTTGTCTTCGAATGAAAAAGATTGAAGAGGAAGAGTTCTGCTCGTGGCGATTCCGGTAACTACAAACGGATACTCACATAATCCAGTGAATAACACCGGATTCAATAATACTTTTTCAACACTGATAATATCTATGCTAACCGGTATCAACCTTTGTATTTGTTAAATAAGTTTGCAATTAAATGATAACTTATTTCTCACAAGTGTCCACTACTATTTCAGATTTTTTTTAACATTGTAGAATTCTGAACCGAGTGGACTATGTTCTTGAAACTTAAATTTAGTTGTATGTTAAATGTTCCAAGTTATGCCAGTTATTTTACTGTATTAAGAAAACCACCAGGTTCATCTACACAATTCGTAGGGTCATTCACCTAGGATACAATCTGAAACTAAAGTATGGATCAGTTGCAATCAGTTTTATTGTCTTTCGATTTAAAACACAATGACAATGATTAGTACTAAAATAATTTTATAAGTTGTCCCAGTACCGAATACAAAGTTGCCACTAATAGCTGGTGTATAGTAAAAACTGTCTTCAACAGCAGCAAACTGTGACACACAATTGATTTTTTTTATTCCAAGACTAGCAACAAGTTCAACACAGGAGATCAAATTTTCTCTTTACAGAAGGTCAAAGGTTAAATTACTTGTAAATAATTATTTTTTGTATATAAAGTAGACTAGGGAAGTAAGGACTCTTATGTAGCTAGTTTTGACTTTGACCCAAAACATACATGCGTGTTTTACAGAATATCCAAGAACTTAATCAATTAATGTGCAATAAATTCCTAATTTAGGTTCTGACATCATAGTAGGTCCCCGCCTTTGATGCAGCGAAAGTAGGAGGGGTCCTCAAGAAGCCATTGTCCTGTAAAGCTTTTGTTGGTCTCTGTCACAAAGACAATAGTAAGGTATTCGCTGAGTAAGCAAGTGAAATATTATTACATTAAGGATTACACAAGTAGCCTATGACTAGCATAATGGTTATGTATGACTCATGAAACCCGCTCATTCATAAAGTGGCACTTGGAGGATTGTAAAGTAATAGTCAAAGGTAATAGCGTGTTTTACCAAATGTTAAAAAATCAGTAAATGTCACAAATCAATCAACACAAATGTACAGTATAATGCCTAACATCACCTCACTGGACGCAGATTGAAGCATATTGTTAGCAATTAAAAATGCCTATCAAACAACACCAAATTAAAAATATCGTATAAAAAATTGCTGAAATGTCACAATTTAATTGTATGATGAGGTTAAATAAGCTTGTATGCAATGTTGCTTGCATATGCTGCAATGTGTTGCAATATGTTACAATATAAGGTTGAATAAGTTTGCACCTCGTTTTACCTTATTTTACAACTAAAAGTTGTGATGTTTCAGCTATTATAAAAAGTAGGCCAATCTTTGAATTGGACCAAGCTATTTTTTTAGTAGTTCTATTCTACCTTAACACACATACCAAGTTTCTTAATCTTTTTGGAACAATACAAAGATAAGTGTGAATTCTTAAGAAATTTGGTTCTTGATTTTCTCTTTATTTGGACTTTTGGAACCATTTCACGGAGTTTAGTTGTTTTCTTACTGGACACCCTGTATATATTTGGGAATGGCATAGGCCTATTCATTTGCCTGAATTGTCCTTGGGCTACACGAACATCTTCTCTTCTCTACAATATCCTGTGTTGTACAATTCCTTTTCACTCTTTGAATAAAGCTCTGGTTTCAAATAAATATACAATTATCGGACGTATCTTAAAAAAAATTAAATCATAGTTACAGTATTTCAATACGTGCATTAGCAGCATATTTCGTACTAAGTAGCCTAATAGGTTTTCACTACCCACCTTAAAAGAAAGAAAACGTTTATTTAACTAATTGGTACACTTTTATTTTGTTTCTAAAACCAATGTCGGGTGTGTAACTAATTTATTCAGCAGAATTAATTAGCCCATTTTCCCGTGTTCTCCCCCCTCCACGAAAGTACAGCAGGTATATTTTTTTACTATAAACAACAATATTGAAATCATTAGATGAAGATGAAAACTTGAATAAAGCTTGAATCATACAAAACTGTCCGTCCACCCGCTTTGAAGAGTGCCTTCATACGTGGAAATGCAATATTGACACAGCTTATGTATTGCCTACAGGGATATTCCAGGCGCTTAAAACCTTATCGTGAGATCGTTTTTTTTCCAATCTTGCGTGTGTTGTGGCGTGCTTTTTAAAGTTTTTTGTTGGGTTTTTTTTATACTAAGTGGTATAAATATTCTAGATTTACAAAAACTCTTTTTAGAGTAAACCTGCAGCCTAGGCTTATGGTTTCAACTTATCGTTTCTTTTCAGGTTTTTAATCAAACAGGGTTCATAATAAAATAGATGTCACACTCGAATGCATGCCAAGTGTACGGGTTTTTAGTAAAATTTTCCTTCTTATAGATATTAAAAAATCTTAAATAGGTGTGGAAATCAACAAAAAAGGCTTTGAAAAGCAATTTTTTTAACTACCACTTTTAAGATGTTCAACAATTCAGTAATCTTAGATGAAAACTTTTCAATAAAAACCAATTCATACTGCTAACCGTTCATATATCTCAGAATTATGTCTTAGCCGTTATTTTGATAAAACTCCTTTTAATATTTCACATATCAAAAATAAATTTGAATGGAAATGGTTTTTCAAAAACCAATCGAGATGCAAAAGCAATCTTTGACTCTTCAAATGTCAGCGGCATGTATTGGTTTTGATTGGACTTTTTGTAAGAAGTCAATCTTTTTATATTTACCTTTAAAAAGTGAATTACTCTTTATCACATTTTTATAATAAACAAATTAATGTTGGCATTTGTTTTAAACTGATTTTGTGTGTTGAAATAGTAAAAAAGAAATAACATTTGAATTAATTATTTTTTTAGCTTCTGATGACCCTAAAATATACATTGGTCCCAGGCCTAAGTGAAGTAACCTCTGAATAGGTAAAATTACTTTCTCACATTACTAAAATAATTTTTTTTATTTTCTTTGCAACATAGTTAATTACAAAAGCCTTTGTTGGATCAATTTTACCTCTCCTCCTGCACCAAATGATAACAAACCTGATCAATCAATTGCCAACAGATGATGTTAAATTTACAATCACAACATTATTATTAAAATTTCAAAAACTCTTTTTCTAAATTTTAGTCAAATTGTTTCATAATTCTAGGTAAGTGGAAGCAGTTTAATGTCTCTTTTGTAACAATGTTGTACTTTAGCTTCATAAATGTAGAAATTACTTCTATTTCTAATTTTTTAATTGTATATTGTTAGTTTTAAGTTGTTAACCTATTTGTATAATTTTCAATGACAATGTTGATATGTTTAATTGTTTCAAAACAATTCCAAATCCATGTTCAGTGTTTATATTATAGGTCGGCCGCTTAGAAAGCGACCTCCTCCAGCATTGGTTTAGCATTAGCGCGCAGGTCGTTTTCTAAGTGGCCGAACTATAATCCTCTTAGTTGATATTGAATAGCTTTGTCCTTAAGGTTTATAACTGAAGGAAATTTTTAATATTCACGGTAAAATTGTAATACAATAATCCAATTGAGACCATAATGAGATTAATCATTGTGTGTTGTGTGTTATTTTCCTTTGAGAAGTAACAACAAGGCTGCCCAGGATAATAGCTTGTGCTTAGCTTTTAATCTCAAGATCGCTGGTCTGGCCCTAAGAATGCATGACTTCTCCATAATGCTGTCTGTTGTCTTTAGGCGAACAATGATTGTAACAATAGGTCAATGTTAGGTAGGGTCTAATAACAAACAGGTCCGGCCTTAAGGCGGGGACACACTTGTCATACACTGTTCCGATCCTACTATGATCCGATTTGTGAGAATCCAGAGGGATCGGTGCGGGATCAGAGGGGGTGAGCACACATGTCATATACGATTCCAACTCATCTCCGATTTCCTCCACTGGGTCGATCAACACGTGCAGAAGGTGGTAAACATGTTCAAAAACTTTGGACTTCGGGATTCAGCCATGATGGTGGTTTGTCTAGATGAAGAGAAAGAAAGTCAGACATCTGTGGAGGGCAGTGAAAAACGGAGAATTTGGGTCTCGGATATTAAACACATTGGGTTTTCTCTCTCGAGTTCGATTGGCTCTTCTACCCGTCCGATTTTCATGATCGAGGTCTCAAATTGAAGATATGCACGCACAGATGTCACATCAAGCATCGGCATATATTTATCTTAAACCAATATTCTTAAACCGAATAAAGGCGATTTTTAAGAAACAACCCATCCTGCATCCGACAAACGAATAGACTGCAGTGTCGGTGCGTGATCGAAGTCAAAATCGGAGTAGGATCGGAGTATGACCTGACGCGTGTCGGAGAGGTGTAAACACCCGCGTTCAAAGTTAAGTACCATTCCCCTCTCCGACACTCGTACCACAGTATGATCGGAGTCGGATCGGAAGGGTGTATGACGAGTGTGTCCCCGCCTTTAGACATGTGCGAACTGTGCGGATGCACAAGGCTCCGCACAAAGGGGTTCTCTGTTCTTTTTGCAAAGTAGAAATTGTTTTTTTCATCTGTGGGTTTTTTCGCTTAATGCTTAAACAGATGGATACCTTTTGACCGAGGCTAGAATCAAACCTTCATTTCTGCCAAGCAATAGGTATTGACAATAGGGTTTAAAAGACTCTCCAGTTGACAATGCTCTACGCTGTCACTTTTATATGTGTACTTTACATTGAAGAGTATTCAGTTGATACATTCGGTTATATTTTACATTTTATGTTCCTCACAGTCACATTGTTTCCAGAAAATGTCCAAACAGAATGGAACCGACAACATTGACTGGCTGAGCCTCGCTGCCAAAATGTTCATGACCAAGTTGAATGACCCAACTTCGACTTTGAACAGCCGAGTAGAGAAACGGACACATCAGTGGCTACCGGTTACTCAGATCCAGACTCGGCCTCCAATGCATAAACCAAGGTGAAAATGGAAAATCCAAGATATTATCATATTTTTAATTACATATTAACTGGATTAAAAGATTATTCCATACAATATCTGATGAAAATTTTTCTTCATGTGAAATCTGGGTAGCTGAGATGATACAGTGAATGCTTGGTAATCAGAAGGTGACCATAGCACAATCAAGACAAGTCAGAAGGGTAGCCTATTAAAGGTTCGAAACTTAGATTTCACACTTGCCTTTCATTGATCGTTCCAGAATAAAGATCCAGCTGATCTTAGTAACAAATCTGTCATTGCATCCATTTAACTCACATTCTTCACTCATCTTAGCCAAAAATATGCACTCTGGTGATGAGTTGGTGTTGTATTAATCTAACCTAAGATCTTGTTGGCTATGTCTCTTGATTGATTGAGTGAGTAAAGGGAACTAACTAGCGGAGGACCTGGCACCTCATTACAGCATAGCCTATATCCTTGTCCAGGTCTAGGAGCTTCTACCAATGTTTAGTGTCCGATTCATGGCCAAGTCACATGAAACCAAACAGGGCCCTTCTCTTTTCCCTCAATTCTTCGCAATTCAGAATTATGTGCTTAAGGCTGTGGTTTCCTAGACGCGTAATAGATGCGCTGCGTGTGCGCATCTAAGACGCAGCACACTTGTCTTATGGAGTTTCGTGTAAGCGGTTTCCAAGGCTGCGTATCTAATGCGCGCGCATCTAATACGCGGGCACCAATAGCTGCGTATTTCACCGACTGCTCTCAGAGCAGTCACATCTGAGTTACGCTGCGTTTTAGACATGTCTTGTGCAATGGATTCGGAAGTAAATGATGTCCAGATGACAAAATTCCCCAACAACAACGAAAAATCGATTGAATTCGACTCTTGAAATGACATATTATGGAAGTATGTTGTTCATACAATTAAAATTTGTATAGTATTACATTTCATATCATTCGTTAGTTAGTGTCAATTACCCCATAATGTGTAATTTTAATATTTAATTCCCTTATTAAATGTTCCCTAAAGTTAATTTATCCTCACATATTTGTAATTTGTAAATAAATTTTGACAAATATTCTTTTCAAGCCAGCACAACAACAGACTCCCAAAAATATAAGAGCCCCCATATTTTAGGAACCCCTGAACATTTTAGTAATAATCCTATATTAATTACTAGCAGAGTACCCGTCCTTCTTACAGGAGCTGGCGTATGAGTATGAATGCTTATTGCAGTTATACTCGTAAATAATATACTATTTGTCAATTCGGTAAATTCCGAATAGGTTGGCCTAAATATAATAACAGTAAAAGCAAAGTTTGAGAGGTTAAATTAAAATTTATTTTTTACATTTTAAATTGACATGTTTGCTCTAATACTACGGTTAAAACTTCCGCGATGGCCACGTACACTTCCTAATCATGTACTTTTCACCGCTTACGTTTCTTCGAAACTGACCAAAGTATGCATTTAATTATCTAAATCATCGTATAACACCATAGTAGCCACTAGTAATCCCTCCCGTGAACTTAAGTTACGCACCAACCATGTGTATTGTACGCAGTCTAGGAAACCACTCACGGCAGCTGCGTTTTGGGACCTGAACAAAAGCCGCAGCGCATCTAAACCGCTGCGCATCTATTACGCGTCTAGGAAACCACAGCCTTACTGTCTCATCGGTTGCAGATCGACACTCTTAATTAATTGTTGAGTTTTGGTTTGGGGGTTATCTTGACTGTCTGTTGTGAGTTGTGTTGTTGATAAAATTGAAGTTTGAGCCCAGGAAACCCCATGCATGCAGGTAATGCTGCTTACTCCAAAGGGTGGCCTGGTATTTTCAAGGCTTCATTCGCCCCATTACAGAATCTGGTGGATTTATTTTTAATTTCAACCTTCTCAGCACGGCTCTCTTGATTTGACAAACATGCAGAAGTAGAAGGGGAAAGAATAAGAACATTCCTTCTTTAAAATACAGAATTAAAAGTGGATCAGCAAAAAGAGGATGAATGCCGATCATAGAAGCTAGATCAAAAGAATGGGACCGTGGGGTTGGCAATACTGCTAAACAGCAGAGTGCAGAGTGTTGTTGGTTGTGTACGGGAACTTCCCGTGTAGTTAGTATGGTTGTATCCGTGTGGTTGGTAGAAAGCCAACCACTCGTGACTGGCAACAATGTGTCTTATCGATTTATAATTTTCAGGACGACAGTTTCCAATCGACAAGTCCCATCAGAAATGCCCCAAGATTACGTAGACACCATTAGACAATTTGAAGCATTGAGGTGTCAACTATTGCGTCAGCTGGTGATGTATCAGACTCAGCTTATTGGTGAGCTTTTAGTTCAAAGTTTAATGCAAAACCCTAATGGTGTATATGATGTGGTCATGTGGATCTATAGACTATAATGTGGTAAAAAATGTGAATTGAAACTAGTGGTTAAGAGTTACTGTGTGATGGTGCTTTAAATAGTTATTATTTTTACGAGAATATTTTTAGGTGATAGTAGTGAAGTACATAAATACAATAGAACCTTGGGTTGTTCTGTTAGTAATGAGGAACAGCTGTAGAGATGGTCAAAGCCATAAATTTTGAATCTCAAAACCAAAACCGAAACTCAAAAAATCATAATAAAACATGTGATCCAGCATTTAAACGTTTAAAATTTAGTTTTTTTTAACATTGTTACAACTAATAGACTAAATATTTCCAGCAATGAAAATGCCGTCTATACCAGCATGCTACAACCCTGCGACCCCTGAGGCAGCTCAAAAATCGGTCACATTAAAAGGAAAAACACAAAAAAGTTCAGGTAAAAACAAAAAACAAACAAGTGTCAACAATGGCAAACCTGGACAAAACGAAGTAAAAAAATGGAAGAAGGTTCAGAACCCGACCAAAACCGTAAAAGACCCAGTTACTAGACGAAGCAAGATCGTTTCAAAACCGAAGAAAACCGTGACAAAATCATCAAAGAGAAAATTTAATCAAGAAACATCAAACTGTACTCAAGTTCTAGACAGCATTAAAAGACCCTGTCCATCTTACATGAGTTGTGTGAGAAATTTCAGCTCTTCCACAGATAGTGATGATCCTACAAAACGCCCCAAAAATAGTTACAAGCCAAATTTTGACTTGGCAAGTGGGGAAAGCATGTTTCTAAAAAGTAGTTTGATAAACGCCTTGAACGTGATGCGAGAAAACAGCACATCAGTTTCAAAGTTGCCGCAGAGAAAAGTTTCTATGTCTAAAAAGAAAATTACTTCATCTTTGTCTTTCGATACTACCACAGATGAAGGTCACTCCTCAATGTAAAAAAAAAACACACTAAGATACATCATCAAATATAGTTTAGGTAATTTAATTTTAATAACAGTATCAACTATATGTCATTAGAAAACTTAAATAAATCATGGAGACACTTTGATAGAATTTGATTTATTTTTGTGGAGTTTAACATTAATAGATGATTTCTTCTAAAACCATTTTTATTTTCCGAACTCCAAGAGAAAAGCACGGCATTGCATAAAGACATTGTTTAAATTTTTGGTATACCATAAGTTTATTTAAATAACCAGTTAGACTTCAAAGTCAAATCAAAAATTCTTTATTCATATCTCTGTAAATACATATTTACATGAATAGTGTCAAACAAGTTGGATATTTAGATGTACAATAATATTAAATGTGTGCAGCAGCACACTAAGTAGGCTAAAATCATCATTATCAGCTTCAGGCTACGCTACTTTAAGATCTAATATTTGTTTGAAGTCAAAGAAGTCATCAAATAAATTAACTTAAGTGACATCTGTATCAAAACTTCTTTCAATTTCACCTTCAAACCTCTACTTTCATCTTGCATGCTTCTTATGTGATCTGGTATGTGATTTAGGAATCTAATACCATTGTATGAAGTTTTTCTCTTAAACAATTCTAATTTATGATTTGATAACACTAAATACTTTTTTCTATACCTAGTGTTATAGCTGTAGATATCTTTATTTGTAATAAAACTATAAGTTTTTCACCTTCTTAATTGTATGTTTCTGGCAAAGCTATGCCAACAATTTATCTTGCCCCCTCATTAAAATATCTTGTTCTTCTTAAATTCCAAGATTTCACAAGAACCTTTTGAGGCCCTGTTGACAAGTTTCTTGAACCTTTTGGGCTTCAATTTGATCCATCCATATTAGGCCATAGTAGGTGGGGAGCGAGCTGGTCTCGTGGTAGAGTGTGAGACTGCCAAATCATTAATTGATTTTTATCTTCAAGATGTAAATAGATGTGTTTTTAGCATCTGGGGACATCAAAATGAAAAAGTAAATCAGTCTCGGGTGTTCTAGATCTTACCATGAATTTTCACTGCTGGGAATTCAGTAGCAAGGAAAATAAAACAATGGAGTATGTATTACTCATTCCCTATTTACTTGTCATTTACAATCTGCAGTAGACTTAATCGTGAGTTTGATCTTTAGAGCTTTGAATAATATGTTGACCGTCACTGGTTCCTGGTTTTTCCTTTTCACAATCCTGACTGTCCTTGTATCCAGCCGAGGTATTGAGACACTCTAGTGTTCACACCAGGGTAGCCTTTGATTCCACAAGGTTTGGCAGAGAAGGATATGATTCCCACTTGATAAGTATTCGAGCCTTCCACCAAAACAGGGCCACCAGAATCACCCTGAAAATTTCAATTTTCTTTATTAGTTTCAAACATAGACCTAAAAGCTTTTAGACTTTCCCCTCCCTTGAAATAAACTTTTACCAACACGCAAAAGATGTAATGAGATCTTATTTATCAATAAGATATGATGAATTCTGTGTGTTCTAGCCTTTCTGCTGGCTGGTCAACAAATTCATATTTTCTTTTATTTGTAGATTGCCTAGTCATGATTTAAATCATGACTAGGCAATCTACTAATAAAAGAAATTGTACCTTCTTGATCACTGATACTATTTGTGTTCATGCTATAAATTATACTGGCAAATATACGAGAATAAAATAGTGTGGACTTTTTTAGTTCTTGTATTGTTATTGTTGATTAAATAGATAACAAAAGAAAAAAATAGCAAATCAGGTAGAATCAAAATACTTCATATTACACAAATAGAAATCTTCAATGAACAGAGAAAAGAAAGAGTGATGTGGAAGAAGAATGAAAATGAATATTCAAAGTAATCAAAAATATTGAGATGATAAAATACGGATGAACACCAAAATTCTAACTAATGGACCCCATGAAGGTCTTAAACTATAATAATAGCAACTTAATGTACGCGTACCGTCCGCCGCGCAGTTAATTTGTGGCCACACGTGTGTTTGTAAATAATGTATCTATGTGTTGTTTCTCGTGACGTATTTATAGACTGTATGACAACCTCTTCGGAGTGATATTTATGTTCCTTCATCGCCTGATGATGGCCCCACAGCTGGGCTGAAACCGGTCGCCGCTCATCGGTGACATTTGATCACATTGACGGATTAAAGGTATTTTAACCTCTAGATTATTAATTTATAATAATAGTGTATGCCATTAACAGTGTCCAAAAAATATATTTTGGGACTATAATATTACGGTAGGTACATTAAATTGCCTGCAAACTAGAAACTTAATATAAGACAGAATGTGAAGTATATCTATTTAGTCTAACCTTGAGGTCTTAAACACAATTAAAAGATTTTGGGCCCGTTCCGGGAATTTCCTTTGATTCGACTGATGCATAGCACTAGTGATTCCTCCAAGAAAAGCAAACATTTTTCACTGAAGTCTGTTGGTTAGATACATTTGTCCAGAACTGTATTAACATTGATACATGACATCACAGAGAAGTACGGTACAGAGGAAACTCATTTATGGGACGACCGTGCGCTTTCACCTCTGGTATGTAGTGCTGGAAAAAGACTTGAGACGAGGAAAGGAAGAGCTCAAGCTTTGAGCACCGAGCAGAAATTACTATCGCACAGAGTACAGGGTTTTCCTTCACCATGAGTGTTGTAGTACATGAGGGCGTGGTGGGCGGGAATGGAATTTTTCCTAGACACCAGGACTAGTGCTAGACACCACTTAAGAGTAACGTTGAGTGTTTCCTCTGTACCTTACTTCTCTGTGATGACACTCACTGTGCATTGTCCAATTCCTCCGTTTGCAGTCCCAGCACACACATTGGTGGAAAGTATACTGATATTATAGGGCTTGTAAGGTGCCGAGCAGTCTGGGTTGGAGATTATTTGGATTGTAGCCTTCTGCAGATATCGGACTGGGTTGCCATTGATCTGCAAGTTTAATGAAAAATATTAGATAGTTCAATTAGTAAAACAGTGAATTTTATACTCTGTTGTCCACAGTGTTAATTTCACAGAGAAGTAAATCAGACAAAATATTCTTACCTGAGTTGCGGTTACAAATTTCACTAGTGAATAATAGAGATAAGGCGAAAATGTTGAAAGAGAATTGTTTTGAAGGTCAAGTATTATTGGAGAGAGCAGAGGGAAATGTCCAGTGTTCCCAGAAGATACAATTATACAAATTTTAAGAAAAAACTATTTTAAACAAAAAAAGTTCAAAGATTTTATGAGAGGAATGGTTGATTGTTGGTTCAATAAATGAATGTTTATCCACATGGTGTAATTAGTCTGTTTTTATATTTAATTTATATTTTAATTTATAAGAAGGTTTTAGTTAGTTATATACTAGTGGATTGTAGGGACATAAGTCCCAAAAAAGGTCAAAAATAAATAAATTGTTGCAATATTTAAACAAACTCAGAATCAAATTTTCTATGTGTCAGGATAGTTATCCCTGTACAGAGAACACCATATCGTTTGTGTAAAAAACAATCTCTTGTTTGATTTTGTCGGTGTTATTTTCAATAAATAATTTGAATCATTCTGAGGTTTAATAATGCCTTTGCTAAAGGCAGGAAATATAAAATAATTTTGTTTGTGGAAAATGTTAAGTTATTCATTTTTAGATCACTTTAATGAAAGCAGAATTTATCTACATTATTTTGTTGATTAGTAAACAAACTTCAGGCTCTCTATCAGCAGAATTAATAGCCATTTACCTTACAAGTGCAGTAAGAGCGTTTTTACATCACGCAGGTGAATGTTGTGCAACGAGCGGAAGGGAGTTGCATAATTCACCTAAGTGATGTAAACACGCTCTTGAGTAACATGTAACATACAAGATTTTACCTGACTTGACAATATACAGAGATTATTATCCAATTCACTCATCTTCTAACAGTAACGTTCTTTTACAAATCAAAGCTATGTTAGGATAATTCTATGAAGCATAACAATAAAATTCAAGCGCACAGTGAAGTAAAGATGTTGCATGCATCACACTTGGGATAGGGAAGTTAAACATGGCGGGTTAGGTAAGTTTCTTTTTTTTATTAGAATTTATTAAAACGTTTTTATTAGCTCGCTTTCTTGTCCGGTACAAATTTTGCAACAAACTTTCCGATGAGCTACAGACTTGAAACTTGAAACATAGCTCACAAATGGAAGACAATGCAATATTATGTCATTTAATTTTCATATTTCCCATACGCCCCATGGACTTTTTTTTTATTAACTCGCTTTCTTGCAAATTTTGATACTTCCCGATGAGCTAGAGACTTGAAACTTGAAACATTTGAAAGATTTGATAGAGTGTTGTCTGTGTGTTGAAGGATAACTTTTCCAATAAATCTATTTTGAAAGATGCAATACAGTATTTTGCAACACTTTTAGCATCAGCAGCAGAATCATCTACTACAAAATTTTGTGGGGAAATTTGTTGGTAAACAAAACGGTGATACAAATAAATGTGAAGTGGGAATTGTATCAATGAGTAGATTGCATAGATAAAACAATACTTAGAAAACTATCTTGACATTGAAGTACACATTAAGTGTTCAGTGTCCTGATAGGTGATCAATCTTCATTTGAGATATAATCTTATAATGTATAAAACAAGTCACGGTGTTAAGAACCACTTAACAATAAATGCAATATTTATATTTCCACATCTATTATCTTCTTGGAGTCATACCTTACTCACTCCCCAACCTGTGACTACTACTTTAGAGTTGGCTGAAGGATCAGTGTTTTGCGCAGACAGAGTGACGGGCTGTGTCACAGAATCATACTCTAGTGCTACACTCAACTGAAACAGAAATACTCAGAGTTACATTCTATCTATATGTACCAAAAGTTGAGGTGGTGTCTGTTTGTCTGTCTGACTCGCTGTCACGACTAATATACTAAACCGATATAGCCCAAATAACTGAGCCATTAAAGTTTATCCCGCCCTTCACCTTCAAGCCGAATTTCATCAGAAACGGACAAAAATTACTCAAGTTATTTAGTCAAGTTATCGTGTTCACGGACATATATATATCTCTATATAAAGATACCTATATATATATATATATATACATATAAAAATTAGAACCAATAAGTGTTTTTGGCCTCTAGGAACATCAAAATGAAAAAGTAAATCGGTCCTGGGCCCAGGTCTTACCGTGAGACCTACGGTAATAGCTACTTCCCTATAAGGAAATTTGCTGAAAATTAAAAACTACTCATCATTGATGAAGATTTTTTCTTAATTGTGATTTGGTTTGAGTTTGCTTTTAATAGATAAGGTAATTTGTTCAACAACACTGAACAAATAAGACTCACCCTGAATAAAGCGATGTCATTGACTTGATTATCCGAGTCCTGATAGCCCTTGTGGACAATAATTTGGCTGACATAAGTAAGTCTTCCATCATCGCCATCCAGATCAATAGTTCCAGTCAGCACAGAAAACTGAGTAAGGTCTCGACTGAAAAGTTTGATATGTTAATTTTTTTGTGCAGGTACAGAGTGAGGCTATGAGAAGACCCCAATTTTCTATTCCTGTCATATGATTGCAAGAATGAACAGCTGTGTTTATAACATGAATGCCCATGCCATTTTGGGGAACATTGTGTTTGGAGTTGAAAACTCTGTGCTTATTGCCTGTGGAAACCGTTTTTTTTTTTTTTTTTTTTTTCAGATTATTGATTAATTACAAGTTTTTTTTAGAACACATTTCAACGTTGGTTGATATGGTGTTTTCCATATAAAAAACCCCATAAAAACTGGGCACAACTATTTAGAATTACAGCTTCAATCCAAAATATATTGGATAGAAACCACCAAGCTGGAGATGGAGGGACTTCAGATCGATCGGTCAGTTTCAAGGTCGTAGATCTTGAAATTTTAAGTCACACCCTGGCCAGCCCAATCAGCAGGTTTAACTTGTGTGTAATTTCGTCCTTTGGAGCTTTTTAAAGTTCGAGGCTTTTAAGAATCCCCCAGGGAATTTGCTGGAAATGAAGCAAAGATGGCTCAGGAAAGTCGAGAGGTTCCTGAAGAGATGGTTAATATAGTTTAATAGTTCACTTGACACTAGCTGCAGTAGGTAATAATAAAATTCCTACATAAATATTTTTCAAGATACAGTAGACTCCCTCTTATCCGGACGTCAGTTTAACCAAATTGCACTCGGCAGCAGCATCTCTCTAACAAGACAATTTTTATCAGCATGATCGTACTGGACATTACTGTGGGAAAGATTTTACACCAGTGATTACATGTATAAATACAATGCGCTCCCAAATTTTAAGTAAAATATATACCAGTGAGCATTAGACGACCCTTATTTAATGACTTTTAGGGGTTGTTAGTTCAACTGGAAAACCTGTTATCTGGACTGACCTTAGTCCCGAGTAGTCCAGATAATAGGTAGTCAACTGTATGTTGAATGTATAAAGGTGGTGGTACTCAAATCGTCTCAGAAAATCCTTGACTTTCTGTAAGAAATAAGGAATCTATCAGATTTCTATTGTGATTTACAGTTATCTACTTTGGGATTTATTGTGAAATAGCAACTATGTATAACTGGCAAAAAGCTAACTTCTGACTTGTACTCACTCATTAACACAATGCGCTGCTGTAAGTATCCAGTCTTCTGAGAGAATCGTTCCTCCACATGTGAAGTACCCTTTGTAGAAGATAGCTGCCTACACAAATTGTAGGCATACACATAAATTGATAATCTACAACACCAACACAAGAGGGACAACACAAGAGTCGTGCAATAACTAAGATCAGCAGGTTACAGTTATTGATTAACAAAGATTAAGCTATCTGAATCCAGTTTCTATTAAAAGTATTTATAACTTTCCGAGAGATCAAAGAGGTAAATTTTTTACCCAATGACGCTAAGAATGTCAAACTGAATCGGATGACACCTAGCAGAGAAATAGGTTTATGGAATAATGCATAGCACTATTGACAATTAATGTTCGCAAAGTGCTTTCCCCCTAGAGCTTTTAGGTTTCCGATATACGAGGATAAATAAATAAAGATAAACTTTCAATTATTTGCATACATAAAAAGGAAAAATACAATATTTGGCTTACATTTTTATCAGAACATCCTGTACTCATAAATACACACCAAATATTTCAAGAAAACAATTTGAACGAATCCTCTAAATTTAGAATTACTGCCCTTCTAACTCGGCTTTGGAATAATTATTGAGGAGAAAGGAAGGATACACAACTAACTCAACTGAATAAAGAGTCCCAGGATGTCAAAATCACACATAAAAAGTACACATTAATGGCAGCAACAGTTTTGGCACTGTTTTATATTTCTGACAGGCACAAGTCAGAGACTTTCTAGTTTTCGACCAGAAGAAAGACAAAGAATAAGATTTAGCGACCAAGTAGCTGGAGATGTAAGAATTGGGGGGGGAAATAGACAAGGCGGACAGAAGAGTCCGTAGGCAAATAGTTGGCGAGGCTAAAAGTCAAATTGGATTTTAGTGGCATAGGAGTAAGTCACAAAATTCCAAAAAGTGTGAACAATGAAAAAAATAAAGGGTATTAGGTTTAAACATATTATTTTTTTCTTGCCATTTTTTTACAGCTGAAGCATTAAAGGAAGGTCCCTTACCATGAATGGAAACTCGCCTTCAGTTGCATTTGATCCATTTATAATTCTCAGTTCAGAGAATGGTTGTGGCATTCCTGTGGTAAACAATTACAAATTATCTCATACATTAGGCATTAAACTACACTTACTGTGTATTGATTGATACACATCTTGCATTAAGTTGTGCGGTCACCCAACATTATTACAATCATTGTTTTTATTTTTCAGCAATATTTAGTAATGACAATACACTGAGAAAGGGGCGTTACAAAAAAAACATTGTTACTCAAGAAGTCCAGTGAATCTGAATTTATCTAGTATTATTATCACAGAAAAAACCTAGTACTAGTATAATAAGTAGTAAAGATTATTTTTGGCAAATACACTTGTTAAATGCCCTTGTGTTAATACCAAAACCCCCGGTCTGACAGGCCCACGGGAATTTTCACAAACTCATATTGGCAACAATCTTTACTTGAAGGATTCCATTCCCCAATATACCTTCCCCCTTTTTCTCCCCTACCTGTTGATATGTTGTGTTCATTTTGCGTGGACGCCGTAACCTTGACAGGTCTGTTCATAACATGCCCGTCTTAGAAGCCCAGGTTAGCGTATTTTGGTTTGTGTGTTTCTAAGCGGGGTCCATTATTTTCAAATGGGGTCTCACAGACCGGGGGTTTCGGTATTAGTGTTAAAAAATGTTGAGCAGTTGTGATTGCAGACTTGTGTTCTGCTCACACCCATAAACATACATGTATGGTGCTAACAAAATCCTGTTTTGACATTTATAGGTTAGGGCAAAACTTTTTTTTTATTCCAAAATTAAGTTTACTAGATATTTTAATACTCGGAAAAAATAAAATTCATGAGAAAATGCCCAGTAACACTGAAGTATCGTTATTGTCATATTTTGTTGAGAGGTTGTTGTATTTACGTAGGCCCTGTAGTAAAATTTTAAAAGATTTTTTAGATTATTTCCATTTATTGTATTACCTATGGCAATCAAAGTACTAAAATATGTGTATCCTTCAGTTTTGTTTTGCTATTAATAGTCTCACAGGCAATATCTTAAGAATATATTTAGTACCTACCCCAATAGTTTAAGTTAAGAAATGATTACTCACCAAACATAAGTTGGGGCACCACATCCAAAACGAATAAAAGGATCAAGATCCTGCAAGCCATTGTAAGACCGAGTCTTGCACTCTCAGCTTAGTTAGATTGTACGTAAATCTTCCTCATGCAAAATTTATATGACAATAGCAACAGTGGCTGTCATAGATAAGATATAAACTGAGGTTTCAACTCATACAGATAAGTTTACATTATTTAATCCGATAATAACATGTAAAGGGTCCTCACTTCAGATAACATGCATGCAAATTAACCGGGAAATACTTGAAACAAATGGTTGTAGGACTAAATATTAAAATGTTGAATCTAATCGGCAATGTTTTAAGCGTTTATCTGGAAGTATCAAATACTATCAGAGAGGATTTGTGATATGTTCGTTGCAGTTAATAATAATCATTACTAAGACGGTAGTACATATACAGAACATTTTATTCTGTAACTACAGTACCCTAATTTCAAATTATTTTCAACAAAATAAAAAATAGCAAAATATTGAAATGAAAAGTTCATGGAAGTAAGATTCTATATTTTTTTAGGATAAAGATTTTCAGGCGGGATTATTTTTATTTTGTATGTTGAAATTTTTTATCATTCCAGATTGTGCCCATACCCTAAAACCATAAAAACTTGTTTAGAATTTTAGACTGATGCCAAATTGTTATAAGCGCTGGGCCATCATAAACCAGGTAAGAGGGATTTTATACAGGGTGTCCCGGAACTCTCTACCAATATTTTAGGGCATTGCTCCTGGGTAAGAAACATATCTAAATATCATATTTAAATTGTCCGGAAGTCCTTAGTTACTCACACAGCCGCCATTTAGTTTTTTTTTTCAGTTATTAAGTTTTTTCTAAAGAATGGTTAAACATACGAAATGGAAACTTTGCACAAACATTTATGATAACTAGTCAAAGCTACAAAAAAATTATGACGATTTTTCAAATTCATAAAACAAAATGGCTACCATTTAAAATTTTTGTAAAATCAACAGTTTTTGAGTTATTTAAGAAACAAAATTTTATCAAAAACACACAAACATTTCGACTGACCTCATTTCGATTTTGACTGAAGTTATGATGTACTTTGTGGTTAGCAACCGACACAAACTAATGTCTTTTTCTTCTATCGTCTTTCCAATAAAAAGGCAAAACAAAAAAAGCAATAAAGGCATATTTTGGATCAAATATGAAAGAAAGTAAAATTTAAAATTTCATTGTGGAAATTATTGTAAAATATTAAGCAGCACTGATAAAAAATTAAAATTGATAAAAAATAATTATTGTTTAAGAACACTATACCTTTGCTCATAACACCATTCATGTCATGTTCAGCAACAGAAGACACATTGCAGCTTTCCACTTAAAAATGTTAAATAATTGCTGATCTTTCATACATTATATCACTTTATTAAATACCTATGGGAAATAATACACATCCAGAGTATTAGAGTTATTTAAAAACCACTTGTTTAAAAATGAGTAGGGATGGACGGGATTGAATACTTAGTTCGGGACGGAATTTTTATTTCCTTCCCAATTTTCGGGACAGGACAGGACGGGATTTTTTTAAGTCCATAAAAAGAAAGTCTTGTGAGTATTTCAGTTACCAAAAAAGACAAACAAAATCAAATTTTTACCATTTGTGGCAATGATCTATCAAAACCAAAAAATGGGTAAAATTTACAGGTATAGAGACTTGTGACTCACGGTCTAAATGACTCGTGGTCATAGTGCAACGCGAAGCGGCAAAATTGCCGACGATCGGATCAAATCCCGTCCCGAAAATCGAGAATATTTTTTCCCGAAATTTCGGGACCCGTCTATCCCTAAAAATGAGTGTCTTTTGACTGGTCATCAGTAGGCCTATCATTCACAGGAAATAAACATTGTCATCTGTTTATCTGTTTTGTTAACTATTTAAGTGTCACACTAGATGTTTTCACCAACAAAAATCCCAAATAGTTCCTTGGTGGGATATAAATTTACCTAAGACATTTATTGAGTTAACTTGCAGAAAAACAAAATTCATTGCTGCCAAAAACAACACTCAACGCTGTAACTCCATCACGGATAACGATATATCACAACTGCTGCAATACAAATTATACATAAAAATTGATTATGCAAACCTCTGTAACTGTTTAAAATTGGAATAAACAAACAAAAATCATCTACTAGAGTGTGACCGTAGGGTAACAAAAACACAGTATTAGCTGAGTAACTTTAATCAGCACATCAAATAATGTAGACATAATACATCTTTAAAACATTTTCTACTTAACATGATTTCAGAATTTATTTCTGATAACCCACTTCATCTTAGTCCCTAAAACTAATACCTAATGTAAAATGTGGGAAATTGTCTGTGAAAAACACATCAGAATTCGGAATGTCCTGATTAATCAAAATATACACAGTAAAAATTATCAGAAGACGCACAACAAAATACAATACTTAGACATCTTTTTCCTCATCTCCGTTAACAACTCCGGCTTTGGCACCTTTCTCATCTACAGACATGTTCTCCCCATCTGCAGCAGCCCCTTTTGTTTTCTCCGAGTGCTTGAACCTGTCGTATCTTCGACCTGTGGTTCTTGAATCTTCCTCGTCGTCTGAGTCCTCCATCTTTGTGGGTTTGTCAGAATCCGTCATCAATTCTCTAAGATCCTCAGAAACGGCTCCCCAAGTTTCATCAGTCAACTCTAAAGGTTTATCTTCTGATTCACTCTTTTCTTCTGTTTTAATTTTATTTTGATTTTCTGTAGCTTCTTCATCGCCTGCTTCATCTTTACTTTCATCCTGTAATGCAAACAAAGTAAACATCTTTTAGCAATGTTTTGTTTCAAGAGATCATCAGTTATAAAATTATTGATGCAAATAAATAAAAGTGTAAAGTAAAAGTAGTAACCTATTCATAAAACTCAGCGTCTCACCTTCTGTTCTGCCTTCCTCTGTGCCTCTCGCATGCGGTGGATGCGCTCGGCCCGTTTCCTCAATGCGAGATCGTCCTTCTTCTTCACATAGCACCTGAGATGCATACTGCCCCGACAGTGCACTGCCAGCGCTTGCTCCTGGTCCTCAATACGAGGCAGGAACGTCTTGCATAGCTCACAGAAGTATACGTTGATTTTCTTGCAGTACTCGCTTCCTGCAGTAAAAATACTGTTGGTATTATAAATTTCCAAAAAAGAACACACAATAAGAAAGTAAATAAAAAAAGGAAAGTAAACATTTATTCCAGATAGAAAATTAAGGTTTTGACAAAAAAGTACTGGGAGAAACGTAAACAGAAGACAAGAATAAATTAGTCATTTTTCCATTAAAATTATATGATTTGTCCATTTCAGTAATAAAATTATAAATTTGCAAACAAAAGTTTTTTTTTACTTTCAATACCATTAACGAATATTTCAAGTGATCTCATTTACCTGAGCCATCACACTTGAAATTGTGAAAGAATTTCATTAATTTCTTATATCATACAATCTTTAAATAAGTATAGTAGTAGATATCCTATTCCCAGAACAAGTTGTAGCCAGTTTTATAGCAAAAATAAATGTAACATTGAGCATAGACATAGTTAGATTATTTCAAGTAGTGATATTGTTTATCTATTATGACCAGCCAACTGCTTTCGTAACCAAGCCAATCTGGGAGCACAATTTAATGCTAAATGTAGTGTCTTTCATGCCTCATCAATATTTGACAAATAGAAAACTGTGAGAGCAAAATGGAGTTTTGGAATTTTTGACAGAAGCAAACTTATCATATCATACTCCAGAATCCAAAAGTCAACAACATAACAGACGAAATTGTTATCTTGTTGAATGACTAACCTAGATTTATTTGTTTCTTCTTCTTCTTTACTTTCTTCTCCTTGGACTTTTCTCCCTCGTTTTCTCCTCCTTCTTCTCCTTCCTTGGCTTCCTTCTCTGCATCATTATCCTCTCCATCCTTTTCTTCAGATCCTGATTCTACAAAGGGAAATAAATTCAATAAATAAGTTCAATACAAATCTAAATAACTCCTTAAATATATAGGCCTACAATCCATCAGCTATATCTGTTGTTAATATTTTTAAAGGATTTTATTTTGAGGATTGCAGACTCAACTGGATTGGAAGTAGTCCAAACTGGCACAAGAAACATAACACATTACACGATACACAAAACATCAAGACATTTTACTGTCACTTACAACATTTTCAACTAAACCAAGGGATAAACATGGACTAACAAGTAGACTTCTTATCCCATTGTAAATTTTGAAGCCTGTTTTTTGTGCCTAGTTCATGTACAGTGACACTGGGTGCTAGTGTGGTCGAAATTTTATCCTATTATTTTAGGGTTAATTTTTTAATTTGTGCTTTACTGTTTTGTTATAACTAGGGGACGAGTTATTGTTTATGATTAGATTGTATTATTTGGTTTAACAAGGTTTAAAATGACTGAAATTTCAAGAAACAAATTGTCAACAAAACCCAACCTCTACTGTAGCGAGAACTAACAATAAAATTGTCTACAGAAGCTGTTCCATAAGGATGTGAAATCTACTAAGGGAGTATGTTTTATCCATGGTACAAGTTAAAAAAGAGCGTTTTCTTTAAGCCTAATGGTGGCCAAGAAGTTGCTTCAGCAACCTCCTTGGGTCATCGACAGTAAAATGTTCTAATGTTTTTTGTACAGTAAACTCCCTCCTATCCGGACTCCTCAGGACCAAAGCCTAGTGAGGATAACGGTTTTTCCAATTAAACCGACGTCCCCAAAAACTCGTTAAAACGGGCCTTTAAATGCGTATTTGACTCAAATTTAGGAGAGCTTTGTATTTAGACACGATATCACTGGTCTCAAATCTTTCCCACCAGAAGTACTGACCACTTCTTGCCAATCCAGTCCAGTTAAATCCATGTGCTGATAAAAATTGTCCAATTGAAGACATGTCATTTCCGCTGAGTGTAGTCCGGTTAAACCGATGTCCAGATAAGAGGGAGTCTACTGTATGGTGTAATGTGTTATGTTTTTAGAGCCAGTTTGGGCTCTTTTCCATTCAGGTAAGACTGTTTTCTTCATAAGCTCTCAGAGGAGCTGTGCTCTATGTTACATACTTAATCTGTCGCTATAATTCCTTTAGGGACAAATGCAAAAAGAGAAACCAACACCTATATAAATAAATTGTAGCTACAAAGTCTTAATCAAATTGTGTTTCTGTCAAATCTTGGTCTTCGGGTGTTGACCGCGTCGTTGAATAAGTTAAACTAGAGGCCGACGTTTCGGATGCGTAGCAGCTATCCATCTTCGGGGCGAACTACTATTCAACTGAATTGAATAGTAGTTCGCCCCGAAGATGGATAGCTGCTACGCATCCGAAACGTCGGCCTCTAGTTTAACTTATTCAACGACGCGGTCAACACCCGAAGACCAAGATTTGACAATCTACAGTGACCGTGGAAGCTTATCATCTAAATTGTGTTTCTGCTACCTTCAACTACCTTGTCAAATATTAAAAAAATAAATATAAAGCTTCTGTTACTGTAATGTAAGGCATTTAGTATACTTTATTCCTAACACAATATTGCCAACTCACCTTCATCTTCTCCTGATCCAACTTGGTCCAAAACCATAAAATTGTCCATGTTGATCTCGCTTCCTTCTGCGTTCTCTGCATTCTTCTTTTCGTAAAAGGCTTTCCTCTGCAAAAGCAAGAAAATATCATAAAATACTGCAATACAAGGCATTTAGTCAACTGTCAGGCCACGATCTTCTTAAAGTATCTACCACTCTTCCAGCATATCCATCCTTATACTCCAATTCAAGTTCACTATGCCGTCCAGATCTTTCGAGAGATGAAGAATTATCATTACTGGAAACATCATGTAGATTGTGTCAATAGTCTTTGTAACCTTCATGAAGAAGCATTTTACAAATTTTGTTACTTGTGCTATTTTTATCAAGATAGATTGGTATTTTGAGGAAGAACAAAGTATTTTAAGTAAAGGGATTTTTGGGGGGTTGTAATTTTTTTAAGCTATAATCACTGAGGATACTATTTGAAACACACTTATGGATACTCAGAATAGCACAATTAATTTTGAATTGGACGTATAAAGATACTCTTCCCAATTGTAAGAACCAATCATGTTTGATCACACTAATTTGTAATTATTTATTTAATATTAATTGCACTCTATCACACAAATATTTTATTAATCACTGTATCAGTGCATCTCGCTGTTATCGATCTTTATCATCCAACTAATTTAACTCTATCCTTAAACAAACAGTACAATTGTACAAGTATTTCGTATATAAGTTTAGGTGTAGATACCAACCTTAAGATGAAACAGTGTGCAGATGTGGTTCTCATATTGCATGGGAGATTTACAAGGCATTCTGCAGACCTTGCAGTACGGGTTGAGAAACTTCACAATCTCCTGCAGACAAACAAAAAAATTAACATACTAAAATCCTAATAGAGTGAAACATTCAAAAATCTTAAAGTGCAGCAGTAGGTATCATACACCAGGGAGCAAGCTGGTCTAGTGGTCTCTGGTTCAAATCCAGCCAATCACCAATGGATTTTATCCAAGTGATAATGCAAAACCCCAAGGATTAGCCTGAAGTAACGTGAACAAAAATCCCAGGCTTGAGCCTTGCGTCCTTGGTGGGTACTTAACCTGGAAAAAGTTGGTTTAATGTATTTAACTTAATCAACAGTTTGTTTAAGCAAAGGTTTATTTGACACATTACATCACATTTTGTGTGTTATTGGGTGATTCAACTATCCACCTTGTTTTGAATATTTTTTTAAATTGCAACACATAAAGATGTGGGATAGCAGGCTTAAGAATAAGAAAGAAACCCTATCCTGGCACAAGAAACACAAAATATTACAAGGTACACAATAATGATCATCTTCTACAACATAATCCATAATGTGCGAATGGTTTTGCGGCAGTGAAATATTCTAAAACTTTTGTGTAAAGTGTAATATTTTGAGTTTTTGTGCCAGAGTGAACTCTATCCCATTCAGCTTACCTTGCAATCATATATTAAATCATTACAACCTAGGCTCTTGCTAGAGTTGCATCCTCAAGCTAAATCACTGTATTTTTTACATACAAAACGTCCGTTAATACATACCTTGTGCTTCTGCGATCGCAAGTGCTCAGACTTGAGTGAACGGAAGTTGAGTTTGCACGTGAGACAGAAGAACGTCCTCATGTTGGGGTTCTTCAGTTTGGCCTCCTCGTCAATGTCCTTCTGTTCTGCCCTCTGTTCCATTCTCAGTTTGCCCAGAGCTCTGCTGACCTTAGCTCCGACAGCGGCCATTGCTATCTGGTGCTTGGACTTGGCCAGGTGAAGCATGTATTCCTACATTACACCACAATGTTTTAGCTTGACTATTAATACTGATATTCCATCCTCATGTTAAGTTGTCACCAGTTTTCAAATCAAATGTGCATAGTTAAATTGAGCGACTGGCAGAGTGTACAATACTAAGAAAATTAATTGATTTGTCAAATACGCCGGCGATTTAACCAAACCAAATTGATAAGGCTACTTTTTGTAAGTTGCAGCATCTTTACTCAGTAATAAAAACTAAGAGATAAGTACAATTTTTTAATACTATAACTTGCTTTGAGAATGGTTCATTCAACCGTTTTTTTGTTTTTCTTTAAATAGGCTAAAAATGGTTCATTTAGATTGGATCCTTCATTATCAAAAGTCAATGATTTCAGTTAGGGTTGATTCATGAAATATTTTCAATTTTATTTTAAAAGTTTTTAGATCAAAACCTAATCAATCCTCGATGGTAAGAATTTCAATGATGTAAGCTTTTTCTGAATATCTGAATTCGCCGTTACACCTTTGTTAGGACCATTGAGGCAAGTGTAATTTTGTCATCCTTGGAAGTATTGCTGCTAATTCAAATGTTTACTTAAAATAGCACAGTTTTAACAAGTCGTTAGCTTAAAGAATAGACTTTTAACATTGTGAAATTGTAATTTTTTTTATTCAGGGAATGGCTGTAAGAAGTAATCTTAAGGAAGTAGTATGGAAAGATAGTAAAGATAAGATAATAAATACAGAGCAACAATCCCCCAAAAAGGGCAAACTTAATATCTCAAATTGAAATTTTACAGAATTAATTTAATATTTTAGTCTCTTTATACTATTTTATTAAATATGATTTGGATTTATCAGACAGTGTATGTTTAGGAGGGTCGTGTTAATGTTGGAATGACAATATATTCTTTCTTACAAACTGGGCAATCTCTAATGACAAAGTTTAACCAGCTTAACTGAACAGAAAGCTGAGGTTTTGGTTCCATACCCTCAAATATGAGAAATAACTTTGGTGCCCACTTTCAACTGGCTTAGGAAGAGGATGATTAACTGGTGTGATACAAAACTGTTGATGAAAGTTAGTAAACATACAAAAATAGAATCACTGAAGGCTGGTGTATTCATTGATTAGCAAGTACACATTGTGTAACTCACCTTGAATGTTTCACAGTGAGCCAAACAATGAGGACATTCAAGCTTCATGAAAGGTTGTCCGAGGTAGTTCTTTCTAACAGGACCATCAACATCACGACCTTCAGAGTCCTGCTTCACAGTAACCTACAACATAGAAAACAGCTGATTACAACATAGAAAACAGCTGATTAAAACAGAGAAAACAGCTGATTACAACAGAGAAAAAACTGATTACAACAGAGAAAACAGCTGATTGCAACAAATAAAACAGCTGATAACAGAGAACACAGCTGATTACAACAGAACAGCTGATTACAACAGAAAAACCAACTGATTACAACAAAGAAAACAGCTGATTACAACAAAGAAAACAGCTGATTACAACATACAATAAAGCTGATCACACAAAACATCAACATAGTATTATATTACTAACATAGTTGACAGATAGATCAATTAATTTGTTTGAAAAATGTATCTATTGTAATAGTGTTTCTGTACTAGCATACCCTCAACCTTGTAAAAAAGTAAAATCTACAGATAGAACAATGGCACATTTTCCAATGATCTACGCCTGGCAGATAGAGTAGGCTACCTGATTATTCGGCATTCAGGTCTGTGTTAAAAAAGGAATACAAAGTAGACCAGGAAATGGAGGTTTACTCAGTTTTATTTTAATTTAAAGTAGTCAACAAATAACAAAAATGTAAAAAACCTTTTTAACTTGGATTCCCAAATTTTTGAAGTGTTAATTGTATTGTATTGCCGTATAAGTATATATATATATATATTTTATTATTGTATTATTTTTTATTACTTTAGGGATAAAACTTCCACAAACACTATCATTTTACTATAACTCTTTTCAATTTTTTTAAAGTGTTTAGACCAATTTTTAACGAGTAGTTACATTTAACACTCCTCACCTGTAAATCTTTGTTCTCTCCGCTTTCATCTTTTTCTTTATCATCTTCCTTCTTCTTGGGAATCTTTCGCTTTATCTTTTTGACTACTTTGACAACTTTTTTAACAGTTTTCTTCTTCTTGTCCTCTTTCTTATTATCTACTTCCATTTCCTCATCTTCATTTTCAGTATCTTTCTTTGTTTTTTCATCATCATCCTTCTCCTGTCCTTCCCCATCTTCGTCAGTCACCTCTTCTTCAACTACCTCCTCTTCTTCAACTTCTTCCTCTTCTCCTTCCTAAAAAATAATTTTGTTACAATCTATCCAAACTTAAATAATTTTAATCTTGTTTCTTAATGATATTTTTTTAACCACACCGTGTTAACAAACATATTAAATATTATATTATTATATTAAATTAGATTAGGTTTTATGTTTGGTTTTCAGAAATAATCACAGAGTGTCCAGTGTCCAATGAAAACAAATTAAATGGTAAAATCAAGTACGAATGTCAAACTGACCGATTATCATTTAGCAATAAGAAAAAACTAATTTACAATTGATTCTGGTACATCACGGATGATTTCCCACAGTCCAAGCAAGATAACAACATCCATTTACAACCATCGCAGCATTTCGCGCTTTAGTTCATTACAATACTTATGGCTCCGCTAGCATAGCAACACACAAGATAATTTTCCACAATGATAATTCTGTACTTGACATATCAATGAAAAAAGAGAGCAAATGGTGGTTATCAATAAGTGATAATTCAAAATATGAAAGTTCCCTATCTCTTAGAAAATGCATTAACATTTTTTTTCGTGTTCAGGTTGGCTGAACACCCTGACACAATATAATGTGATAGTAAGCTGCAGAGTTGTAACATTTAATTTAATTTTCAAGAATCAAAATAAGAAAACCATCCGAAATGGTAAAATAATTATGAAAATCACAACAGTGAAACAGACCTCATCTTCATCGTCATCACTTCCTTCCTTCTCAGCTCGGGCACGCAATCTTCTAAGCCTAAGAAAAATAACAAAAAAATATAAGAAACATTTTTTAAATAGCTTTTTCACTATTTTAACTAGTGACTAGAAGAGAGTAATCTAGTCTGTCCCAAGTACATAATTACATTGGGGATTCCTAAACCTCTTTTAGTTTAAACTAAAACCGCAAAGAGTAAATGATCTACCCTAATTCCTTGTATGTAAACTGTATGTAAAAAAAACATCAATTGAACATTTCTATTGTCAGAAGCAGCATCTATTGCAATGAGGAGAGGAACAAGTTATTTCAATTATGCTGAACCAACTCTAAATGCTAGCAGGTGGTAAGAGCATTTTAAAAATGTATGACTGACTAAAATGAGCTAACAGAATTTTTGATTTAGAAAACTGTATTGATTAGGCCTAGTTGTTTTACGGATCTTAAATATGATAGAATTTCTTGAGGCTAAATTGTTATTTGTATGATTTTGTCATAGTGATATTTGCTATTTGAAGAAATCTTTGCAGTGTTATAAAAAATGCATTGCAGTTGTAAATATGTAAGTGCAAAAATTCAGCAATATCTTTTTCTGATTTAGACCAGTGTCTTTTTTGCGTTGTGTTTTAAAAGGAATTTCCTAAAGCAAATTGGTCAGATTGTGAGCAAAGTCACTCATAATCATTTGATAGAAAATAATCATTAATTTCTTCCTGCTCAATGTGCTTTCTTTTTTTACTTCAAATTTAAGTAGTGGATAACATTGTGTGTTGATTACAAGCTCCTTTCCAAGATATCGAAAGGTTCTGAAAGCAGTGCAGAACCACGGGCACAATAATATATTATTGTTCCTGTAGAAAACATCATCCAATCTTAGAATCTGATACACTGTCTTTTCTAGACACCAAACTCTTAATACTTAACCATGTTCTGATCTAAATACTCAAATGAGTTCTTTCAGGAGTAATTTCAATCTAATACCCAAGATACAAGAAACTTCATGTTTTGTATCTCATGCAGTTCTCTACATTTTTACTTGTGTAGCCCAGAATTAAGATTTCATTTTATGCTTTTAATTTGTTTCAAACTTTGTTACAGATACTATTACCTTCGACTAAGCTTGTTATACAAGCTGTTTGACAATATTCTCAATCACTCATAATAAAATTCTTAATTGTATATAGTATGGTTGAATCATCTGTTGATCCACATCAGCCCATTCAAAACTATTGAATTTGAAGAAAATTCAAGACTAGTTACAACTTTTCTTTCAAAAAGTGCAAGTCACTCTATAGTGTATTTCTCATTATCTTTCATCGACACATCCGAGAAGACAATAGTACATCTGCAGAAAGACGGAACACACCAGGTTTCAATCTCCATTGTTAGACCGAGATTCGAAAACCGGCCATTCCTGTCTAGTTACCTCTCAATTCTATAAAGCTTGAGGCGGCGCAAATATTCTTGTGACCTGCCAATCGGTTTGCGAAGGCCGTAACTTCCAACGGCACTTCGTTTTCTCACAAAAGTATCAACTCGAGAGGCCGGCTCGTATCGCCTGAAACTACTCCTGAAGCCTCGGGAGAATGTTGATCGTCCTCGGTAAGAGGTCCCTCGTGGGGTCGAGTGGCGTGGGCCGCTAATATTCAGCGGTTTTCTAAACTGGTAATCGTCAGAACGGATCCTCTCCCGTTCCTCTCTGAACGAGGACACTCTTCTTTCATCACCTCCATAGCCACTCATCCGCTTGCCTTCGTAACCTCCATAGCTACGGGACGGGTATTCCATTCCGTCGTAATCGTGGCTTCTGTGCATGGATGACGCCTGCATCAAATCAATTTCAACATAATCATTATCAGTTTTTGGCAGGTTGAAAAAACGGTAGACACAGTAAATACCTGAAAAATAAGTTAGGAATATTGTAGGTTAAAAATATTAATGGCCATCCAAGGAATCTTCTATGTTGTTCCCGATTCTTTGTCTGTTATGGTTTGCCGCTGTCACTACAAGTGCATGTTAGTCAATAATTCCTTCTATTTGTTAAACTTTCTCAAAAACTAATTATCAATTTTGTATTTTGTATTCTACCATAAAATCACACTGAAAGTTGTTACAATTTCATTGGTTTAAGTTTCACAAATCAATGTGGTCAATACACTCATATCTATAATATTCCAAAAGGTTTTCTTTTTTAAATTAATTTTTAATGTTAAACTGTATTTGTTAACATTTTGAAAGGACTTGGAACCCATTTTGTAAATTTTAATTCTTGCAAACTACATCCACCCAAAGTATAATATTTCTCACACTACTATTTTAGGACAATGATAGTCAATCCATTTCATGAAATGGCATTTCAAATGTTGTGTAAATGCATCACTCTATCAGCATAGAAGGCCTTCAAATTATTTACATTAGATGGTTTGTCTCCTGTTACTCCCTTGCCACTTTCTTAACTGTACAAGTTTTTCTTTTTATTAAATAATTTCAAAAGAAAATTTTACTGTTATGTACTTACAAATTTAACGGATTTTATATTTTTTTGTTTCAATGCCTGAAAGAAAAGTTCTGGTTAAGGTTGACTTTGGTTTATCATGTTGGAGGATAAATACTTGAATAAAATCCTAGAAATTTAAGTCTTATAATTAGTTTTAAAACAATTATACATTACTGTAATTATTACGGATACTGATTTGATTTTGGATTAAATATCCTAAATAATTAAATAACTTTTTACCTGTTATGACAGAATTGGTTATACAGCTTAAATCGTACAAATAAATTTACAGTTAATAATATAATTACTCACAGGGCGGATATGAAACATAAAACATAAAATAAAGCTATGAACCGTATTGTAAACCATCATAAGAATTCCGTATTACATTCTTTAATTTGGTTAAATTATGAGATTTTGTGATCACAATGATACTGAATTGACACATGTGATCATTTCCCGTAGTCACAATTAATTATCACAAAATGGTACCCTAAAAAAGACCTTAAAAGTAATTTAAAAATTTTATTATTATTAGGTGTTCAAAATTAAAATCTCAAAATGAAACCAATACTCTAAGTGAGAACCATTTAACCGTGCTTGCTTATTTGATTTGGCTATCCTCTTTCGTTAAAGGAAATTTACTTTCCGCTTTGAGCTCACAAATTCATTTGTTTCCAAATGAGATTTAATAAGAACATTTACTAAATTACATCAGTTGTGAAAGCAGCAGTTCCCAGTTTACATTTTTGTGGATTTTTCTTTAACCGAAGTGGACAATGTTATTACAATAACAATACCAATTTTAATCCAAAAGTCTCTAGCAAGTCAAACTTATATTGTAAGTAAACTATATAGAATTATTAACATCATACCACTTCTAATCATAACAGAACAAAAAAGCAATAACTATCATTATGCAATTTAAAATGACTACGGTTTACTCTTTTAATATAAAATACCGTAAACTCCCTCTTATACCGTTTCCTTGAGACCAAGGCCAGTCTGAACAACGGTTTTTTCGGTTAAACTGCGTACCCTAAAACTTGTTACATAAGGATTATACTATAATGATTATTCCTAAAAAAAAAATAAGACACTTTGGGGTAATTACTGTAAACACAAAACACCAGATGTCAATTCCTGATGTCAATCCCTGGTCTGAAATATTTCGCTTGAGAAAAATTGTTTCAGTATCCTTCCTGCCGATCCAATCCGGTTAAACCAATGTGTTGATTAAAATATTCTGGTTAAAGAGATTTCACTTCTGCCAAGTGTAGTCTGGTTACAAGGTGTCCGGATAAGAGGGAGTCTACTGCAAATCAGTTGAATCCGTTAAATAGCTGTGGTTTGTAATTTTGAATTTAAGGGATAAAACTGTTGACTTATAAACCATTTGTCTGTGAACAGATTTAAAATAACTTCAAAATTGGTATGGACTTGATACGAAAATGTTGTACACAGGCTTATGGGCAAAGGGATTAGGATTACTCATAAATTTAAACCACATTAACCATTTGGATTAAAGTCTGGACAAACATTACGTAAGCAGTTTTAAACTGACGATGTTTCTGTTGCGTACAAATTTAACATAGTAGTATTTTAACTCACAGGGGAGTAGTCCGCCCTCATTCTCTTGCGATCAGGAGAACCTCCTCGGTGAGAATGCTCTCGGCTTGAATAACTTCCACTGTCCTGTAACAAACATCAGTACTCGTAAAATAATATTTGGTTAGTACAGGTTTTGCTAGTGATACTAGGTTGGTTGGTTGGTTGACAATATCAAACAAAACAGCCATGTGACAAAGCACAAGTTGTGAACTTTATTGAAAACTGGAACTTTCAACAAAATTTGTTTTTTTTTTTCAACACATATAACTCTACTTACATCCCCACGGTAACGGTACGATCCGTCTTCACGACTGTGGCTAGAAGTACGATCCCCTCCACCACCTGTAAACATCATCAACACGATTTGATTAGTAATTGTTGAAAAATCTCAGCACAAGTAGGAAGAGATAGCTGACTATTCTAAACTCAAAATATATTAGCCTAAGTGTAATAATTATACCTTAACCACATTACTTAATACCTTCTTAGAAATTTATGAATTTTCTAAGAATTCTATTTTATGGTTGAGATCTAATATGCCAGGGTAGCTTTCAAAGAACTAATTTTAAAAGGAGTTTTGCAATAAAATGTGAATGGAATGAAATTAGATTGGGAGTCCCAACAGGGCTTGATTTTGAGTCCTCTTCTTTTCTTAATTTATGTTAATGAATGACCTACCTGAAAACATTTCTGATAATTTAATACTGTGAACAGATGACACAACTGCTGTTGACAAATCTAAAACAGAGGATGATTTATGGGTAAATGTAGAAGAAGCTTTGACAGATCTTAGAAGGGGGTTTGAAATAAATGGGATAAAATTAAATCCAGAAAAAAACACAGCAAGTAAAATTTAATACAATACTATCTTGAACATCCAAACATATGAAATTTGGCAAAAATTGTTTGCTGAATTTTCATGGAAATGCCCGATAGAAAAAAATACTCCCAGAAGATAAATAAGCCTAACTAATAAGTCTTACAGTTTTTCACAGCTTAAAAATAAAATAGGGTACAGAAATTTTAAAAAGTACAAAAAATAAACTCCAATTTCAAAAATGTATTTTTGTTTTCTTCAATGTACCAATTGCAACTTTAATTTCTCAACTTGAATTTTTACGCACCACCCTAGTGTAAAAATTGTATCTGACTGGGTGGCTCGATTTAACAACTAGGCCTATGATGTACATTGATTCACATTAATAAATTGACTACCTGGGATTGTTGGTCTATTAATATTCAAAGCTGCGTGGTAAATCTCACCTGAGTAACGAGATCTTGATTCATACATGCCGGAGTCATCACGCTCCCACTTGCCTCCCCCGCTGCCACTGAACCTCCCGCCCCGACCACTGCCTCGGCTGGACCCAGCGTAGCCTCTGCTGCTGCCTCGCCACCCCCCTCCCTCGCCACCTCTGCTGCCTCGATAACCTCCACCTCCGCCTCGGTAGCCTCCACGGCTGCCTCGGGGGGAGCTGCAACATCACACAGTAGATAAGGTTCATGTGTGTTGTGGACCTAATAACTCTGTTTTTCTACAGTAAAACCCCAATCAACCAAAACAAAGAAGGTGAGGTTTGTTATTGATAACCTTTTTATTCAGTAATTCAAAATGGTTTGATTTTAAAGGCTATTTTAGTTTGAAAACATCTATTACATTGGTTTCTTTAACAATATTATAGTAACCATCAGCATAAAACCCGCACTAACCTTTTATATCCAGAATAGCTCATTTCTCTTCAGTTCCCACTGAACCTCTTCAGCCCCACTGAACCTATTCAGCCCCACTGAACCTCTCAATCCTGAAAAAAATAAAAATCAGACGTATACTTTAACATTCAATTTAACTACCGGTTAAGTATACACAGAATAGACTTTCCATGCAATGTGAACATTTGAAGCCAAAAAACGTGTAGTGCAATCTGTTGAGATGGTCTACCAGCTAATGTAAGTGTTCTGAATTAAGTGATAAATCAATCAACTGTTTGCTATGATACTGTATTGATTTTTAACCCAATACACTAGTACCCTCTTGTCAGATGGACTTAAAATTCACTATTTTCTTGGCTTCAAATTTGTACATTACATCGGAAATCTATTCTGTGTACAGTCAATGGTAGAACAGAAATAATCAGGCTCAAACAGGCATCCAGTAGGCTGGATTTAGAAAAAGATACGACCACCAAGAGACCCTTTTAATAATTGAAGTTACCATTAATAAATTTGAGATGGTCAAGAGTGCTGGGACAAAAATTAATTGCTGTCTAGGATGAATGAACATTTTATGAGCAGACAGAGAGTTTGTGTATGTGAGTTCCGGATTTCATCCCCTAATTCTAGTCAGTAATGTAGCATTGCAGTATGGCATTTTGGGTGAATTACTGCACCCTTTACACTACAATCAGATTTTAGTTACAGTAAATGTATGTAATTTTATACCAAATCACCTTGTTATAAACAATTGTTCTGTATTGTATTGCACTTAAATTTGAAAATTCATACATGCAAGGAGTTTTTAATTTTTGAGGAATGATTTTTAGATTACTGGAGGGTTCAAATAAACAAATGATTATTTACCAAGGTTATGCTTTTTTATTGTCCGAGGAGCATGAACACAGTTCTAAATTATTGCTTGTATGTTAAAATTCTATTTAAACTAAATCCTGCACTTTCATTAATTACACAAAAAAAGTTGTTTGGTTTTAAATTTGTAGGTGAATAGATTAACTTTGCTTAAAATTATAAGACGAATGTAAGAAATTATAGTTTTTGTTTTGAAGTAAATATAGCATATACATACATAACGCTTACACAGTATCAATTTTAGAAGGTATAGTAGCAAAAAATGTAAGTCCATTACCCAAAAGTTGTCAGTTATAATCTATAATTGTTATTGATATGTTTGTTGTTTGCACATCTGGTTACAATTTCGTACAACCGATGGTTTCATCTTAAATGTTTGCCATTTGTATCAACTCAATGTATTTCAGAGTAAATGCTACAAATATTCCTAGATATACAATCCAGGGTATAGCTCAGATTAAAGGCTACAAATATACCTGGAATGTGGCCTCCACCCCTTTTTAGCCATCCATTCCTCGCCCCACACTAAAAGATGACAGTAGTCAAATTTAAATTTACTTTGAATGTGGCCTCCTCCACCCCTTTTAGCCACCCATTTCTCACCCCTTCTTAAAACATGACAGTAGTCTCTTACATGCAATTGCTTAAAATCACTAGGCTATGTGATGTGTATCATGTTTAAATTTATATTATTTTGAATGTGGCCTCCTCCACCCCTTTTAGCCACCCATTCCTCACCCCACATTAAAACATGACAGTAGTCTCTTACATGTAATTGCTTAAAAACACTAGGCTATGTGATGTGTATCATGTTTAAATTTATATTTATTTTGAATGTGGCCTCCTCCACTCCTTTTAGCCACCCATTTCTCACCCCACATTAAAACATGACAGTAGTCTGTTACATGTAATTGCTTTTAAAATCACTATGTGATGTGTATTATGTTTAAATTTATATTTATTTTGAATGTGGCCTCCTCCACCCCTTTTAGCCACCCATTTCTCACCCCTCATTAAAACATGGCAGTAGTCTGTTACATGTAATTGCTTTTAAAATCACTATGTGATGTGTATCATGTTTAAATTTATATTTATTTTGAATATGGCCTCCTCCACCCCTTTTAGCCACCCATTTCTCACCCCTCATTAAAAGATGACAGTAGTCTGTTACATGTAATTGCTTTTAAAATCACTATGTGATGTGCATCATGTTTAAATTTATATTTATTTTGAATGTGGCCTCCTCCACCGCTTTTAGTCGCCCATTTCTCACCCCTATTAAAACATGACAGTAGTCACTTACATGTAATTGCTTTTGAAATCACTATGTGATGTGTATCTGAATTAATATTTATTTTGAATGTGGCCTCCTCCATCCCTTTTTAGCCATCCATTCCTCATCCCACATTTAAAGATGACAATAGTCAAATTTATATTTATTTTAAAAGTGACCTCCTCCACCCCTTTTAGCCACCCATTTCTCACCCCTCATTAAAACATGACAGTAGTCTGTTACATGTCATTGCTTTTAAAATCATTGTGAGATGTGTATCATGTTTAAATTTATATTTATTTTGAATGAGGACTCCTCCACCCCTTTTAGCCACCCATTTCTCACCCCACATTAAAACATGACAGTAGTCTGTTACATGTAATTGTTTTTAAAATCACTATGTGATGTGTATTATGTTTAAATTTATATTTATTTTGAATATGGCCTCCTCCACCCCTTTTAGCCACCCATTTCTCACCCCTCATTAAAACATGACAGTAGTCTGTTACATGTAATTGCTTTTAAAATCACTATGTGATGTGTATCATGTTTAAATTTATATTTATTTTGAATGGGGTCTCCTCCACCCCTGTTAGCCACCCAATTCTCACCCCTCATTAAAACATGGCAGTAGTCTGTTATATATAATTGCTTTTAAAATCACTATGTGATGTGTATTATGTTTAAATTTATATTTATTTTGAATGTGGCCTCCACCACCCCTTTTCGCCACCCATTTCTCACCCCTCATTAAAACATGACAGTAGTCTGTTACATGTAATTGCTTTTAAAATCACTATGTGATGTGTATCATGTTTAAATTTATATTTATTTTGAATGGGGCCTCCTCCACCCCTGTTAGCCACCCATTTCTCACCCCTCATTAAAACATGACAGTAGTCTGTTTTATATAATTGCTTTTAAATCACTATGTGATGTGTATCATGTTTAAATTTATATTTATTTTGAATGGGGCCTCCTCCACCCCTTTTAGCCACCCATTTCTCACCCCTCATTAAAACATGACAGTAGTCTGTTACATGTAATTGCTTTTAAAATCACTATGTGATGTGTATCATGTTTAAATTTATATTTATTTTGAATGTGGCCTCCTCCACCGCTTTTAGTCACCCATTTCTCACCCCTCTTAAAACATGACAGTAGTTCCTTACATGTAAATGCTTTTGAAATCACTATGTGATGTGTATCTGAATTAATATTTATTTTGAATGTGGCCTCCTCCATCCCTTTTTTGCCATCCATTCCTCACCCCACATTAAAATATGACAATAGTCAAATTTATATTTATTTTAAAAGTGGCCTCCTCCACCCCTTTTAGCCACCCATTTCTCACCCCTCATTAAAACATGACAGTAGTCTGTTACATGTAATTGCTTTTAAAATCACTATGTGATGTGTATCATGTTTAAATTTATATTTATTTTGAATGTGGCCTCCTCCACCCCTTTTAGCCACCCATTTCTCACCCCTCATTGAAACATGACAGTAGGTCTGTTACATGTAATTGCTATTAAAATCACTATGTGATGTGTATCTGAATTTATATTTATTTTGAATGTGGCCTCCTCCACCCCTTTTAGCCACCCATTTCTCACCCCTCTTAAAACATGACAGTAGTCTGTTACATGTAATTTCTTTTTAAATCACTATGAGATGTGTATCATGTTTAAATTTATATTTATTTTGAATATGGCCTCCTCCACACCTTTTAGCCACCCATTTCTCACCAATCATTAAAAATGACAGTAGTCTGTTACATGTCATTGCTTTTAAAATCACTACCTATGTGATGTGTATCTGAATTTATATTTATTTTGAATGTGGCCTTCTCCACCCCTTTTAGCCACCCATTTCTCACCCCTCCTTAAAACATGATAGTAGTCTGTTACATGTAATTGCTTTTAAAATCACTATGTGATGTGTATCATGTTTAAATTTATATTTATTTTGAATGTGGCCTCCTCCACCCCTTTTAGCCACCCATTTCTCACCCCTCATTAAAACATGACAATAGTCTGTTACATGTAATTGCTTTTAAAATCACTATGTGATGTGTATCATGTTTAAGTTTATATTTATTTTGAATGTAGCCTCCTCCACCCCTTTTAGCCACCCATTTCTCACCCCTCATTAAAACATGACAGTAGTCTGTTACATCTAATTGCTTTTAAAATCATTGTGAGATGTGTATCATGTTTAAATTTATATTTATTTTGATTGTAGGCTCCTCCACCCCTTTTAGCCACCCATTTCTCGCCTCTCATTGAAACATGACAGTAGGTCTGTTACATGTAATTGCTATTAAAATCACTATGTGATGTGTATCTGAATTTATATTTATTTTTAATGTGGCCTCCTCCACCCCTTTTAGCCACCCATTTCTCACCCCTCTCAAAACATGACAGTAGTCTGTTACATGTAATTGCTTTTAAAATCACTATGTGATGTGTATCTGAATTAATATTTATTTTAAATGTGGCCTCCTCCATCCCTTTTTAGCCATCCATTCCTCATCCCACATTTAAAGATGACGATAGTCAAATTTATATTTATTTTAAAAGTGGCCTCCTCCACCCCTTTTAGCCACCCATTTCTCACCCCTCATTAAAACATGACAGTAGTCTGTTACATGTCATTGCTTTTAAAATCATTGTGAGATGTGTATCATGTTTAAATTTATATTTATTTTGAATGTGGCCTCCTCCACCCCTTTTAGCCACCCATTTCTCACCCCTCATTGAAACATGACAGTAGGTCTGTTACATGTAATTGCTATTAAAATCACTATGTGATGTGTATCTGAATTTATATTTATTTTGAATGTGGCCTCCTCCACCCCTTTTAGCCACCCATTTCTCACCCCTCTTAAAACATGACAGTAGTCTGTTACATGTAATTTCTTTTTAAATCACTATGAGATGTGTA